TCATTCTGGGGGTGCTTATTTTTCAGGAAAATTGTGGCTGTGATACAATTATTATTATAATTTTTATTTTATAATAATTTTAATGAAATAATATGAATTTTTCATAACTTTAAAATTATTTCCAGGTCTATTTTTTCCGATTACCAATTGTTTGACACTTGCAATTTTATTCTAATTAAAAAAATAAAATGTTCTCAAAAAAGCAATTATAATAAAATTTACAATTCAAAAATTATATTTATAAATTTATTATAGTTGATTTGTTTTTTTAATTAAAAACTAGACATAACACGCTTGCTTCACTCGCCTTCATTCTTTCAAAATTCCCGCCATTATCTCAGTCGACCAATCAACAACCGAATAAAATAGTCACAGAAGTGACGTAAAAGAAGAGGATAAAATTCCAAGTGTCAATAACTGGGTCTTTTACCTTATGTAAAGATCCAAACAAATAACAGAAATACTGATAAAAATTATTGCGAAGAAAGAATGACGAATGAATAATGGAATAATAACTGTTAATCTTCAGCTTAGAGTGAATTTGAACTGGAGCTCGTACATGACAATTTTCTCTGTTTAATTTTAACACCTGCGTAATTTTTATCTTTACTATTTTCTTCATTCTTTCTTTTCAATTTATCCTTCTTCTTTTCCATGTTTATGTTTGTGCAGATGCTTCTTTTTCTTCTTATGACTGTCTTTGTCTTCTTTCTTCTTAAGAATTCCCAATTCAGGCTTAGCAGGTCCATCCGTGACATTAACTAGTCCAGAAAGCGGCGTCAAAATGTCTCTAGAAGACTCAGTACTCTTGACTTTCATTAATTCCTGTGATAACTTCGCTTGTTTATGTTAACGTCGATACTCTAGCGCACTAGATGCCTCACCAATCAATTCTTTCAAGGGAGACTGTTTTCTTTTCGTCCCAGTGTTTACAATCTCAACATCCAATAATTTTACTTCCGAAATCTCCGGATAGAAATTCAAAGGACTCACCAACGATTCAGTTTCTAGCTTAAAATTTTTCGCTTGATTTTTTGCTTTTATAAAAAATCTTTGTTTTCAAGGTTTAACATTTTACATATAAATATAAGTAATAAATAATCTTATAAAAACTTAAACTATAATTTTCTCAAATAAAATTTGAGAAAAAGACACTGCGGTCTTTTAGAACAATACAGCGTGTAGTAAAGATCAACAAAGTCGCATCTCAGCTTAGAAAAACTATTGATTCGATCGGAAGATATCGCAATTAAAAAAAATTGTCGTTTTTGTTATTGTGAAAGTATTTACTCCCCTCCGTCGAGCAGAAAATCTGTATACACATCATGGTCATTAAGTAAAAAAGCTTCAGATCACATGTTTGTCGACCCGGCTTCGCCTCGGCCAACAATTACATGTGATCTGAGACATTTCTTACTTTCCTGCCCTAGGTGTGTAAATATACTATTGCTGAAACTAAATAAGAAGTTCAAATCAAAAAATATCTTTTTAACAACGTTTAACAAAATGTTTATTTTTAACAGCAAGTATTTATAAGCGTTGATTGACATTTCGACGTTCTAATTAGCAAATTGTCTAACTCCATTTTAGAGAATCTTCTATTTGTACGAAAAAAACAATTAGTTCAAAATTTATTATCACTTTAAAAAACCATTTTATATAATTATTATCTAATAGAGATATAATATTCAGGTTTGAATCATTCAAATAATTAATAATTCGATTATGGCTACATCAAAATGTTAAAAAATTAACCTCTAAAAAATATGGAGTTAGACAAATTGCTAATTAGACCGTCGATTTGTAGTTCAATATACAAGTATATAATAATTAAAAACAATAGAATCTTAGATTTTCAATAATAGTTTATATCAGTAAGTTCAATCTTCAAAGACATTCAATGAATCGAAACTAGACGACGATACTTGTTTTTTCAAATTCAAATTTTGCTCTAACATTGTATGAAAATTTTTATATTTTTCAACCAAAGCTTGATCCACTGAATTTGATAAATACTTTTGATGATTTACTGTCGCGTTCAATAACAATTCCAGCAAACTCCGATTCATATGCCGAAATTCGTCAAAGTTACTGTAAACTTTTATTTTCTGTAAGAAAAATTTTCTAAATTATTTTAGATAATTTGATTTTTATAAAAAAATACATACTTTATCTAAACTTACCGGAGGTTTGAGAAAAAAATTTTCCTGCAACGTCGAATTCGGCTGTGTAAAATAACTTATTAAGATTATAAACAGAGAAGCAGATGAAGATTAAACTGTTAGCTTACCTGACTAATAAATATATAAACAGCGATAGAAATTATTAATAATTTAAACATCTTGATCGACTTGCTATTTATTTCACTAGAATCTTTTAAATTTGGAGTTAATTTTTTATTATATTTTTACACTTCTATTTATTAAAAAGCTAGAATAAAATAAAAAATATTGTTTTAGCGATACTAAATAGAAGAGACTAAACACTTAAATAAACAACAACACATTTGTGATTTGAATTTCGTTTGAATTGGTTGAAATAATTTATTCAACTTGGGAAAACCGATACCAAGAGCGAGAGGATTGAGATTTAAATTAGAATATATGAATATTTTTAAAATCGAATATTATAATGTCGTTTTTAGGCAATCTGTGTATAAGTTGGTGTCCACTATGAATAGTTGATCGGTTTCAAATAAATTATTATAGATATGTTATCTCGTTATCGATGAGAACTGTCTTATGGATTATGTCCAATAGATATCCAATGACATAACAGTATTTGGTGGGACATTTGTCATTTCAACCTATATCTATCTGTAAATATATGAATTTAACCTAGTTTTTGAAAATTTTGTTTTTCGACGACATAGTATTCGATTCGAATCTAAAGTATATTTGAATTTAAAATAATCAATCAAATAATTTTTTCAGACACATATCATAAAATGCAAATATTTGAGTTAAGCTCGAACGAATTACATATGACTTTTTTCCGTATGCTATACGATAATTCAAGTCCAAATTTCTTTTTTCTATTTTTTTTTTTTTCGTTTATTTTATTTTATTTATTTTATTTTCTTCTTACACGACCCAACAGCCAAATGGCCGATAACAGTTTAAAAGAAAAACTAAATAACAGAAGAATCCAAGCTTATCAACTGACACCCTTTTCGCGCCATGTCGTCGCACTCACGGCGAGAAACGGTACTATCCTTGTTGCACCCGTGATGATAAAGCTAATTGCAGTTTTATGTTTTTCTCTTAAACAAATAAGAATTTCGAAAAAAACGCTCAGCCATAAAATAGATCATTAAAAAATCTATTACGTAGCTGAGCGTTTTTTTCGAAAATCTTCTTTGTTTAGATGAGAAATCAAAAGCTGCAATCATAGGAACCGGTTCTAAAGAACCCGTAAGATGTCGCTCTTAGTAGCATATGATTGCGCAGCCTTTACCCTGATAGCCACCTTACCTATAACTTACTGTCAATCTACGTCCGCAATTTGAAGCAAACTTGACGGAAAGACTTGGCAAAGCGAGCGATTACCTATTAGTTACCTATAACTTACTCTGCAAATAAACGTCAAAACTTGCTGTACAAGTATTTCCGTCAAATTGTAGTAAAGTTGAAAGGAAATTTAACTACAAGTTTGATTGTTAACTTGTATTCAAGTTGCGGCCGTAGATTTCCGTCAATTTGCTTACAACTGTTGTTGAGTGAAGAATTACCGCCAACTTGATGGATAAATTAACCGTAACTGTTGGAAGTCAACACTTACTGAGAAAGCGCTGGCTATCAGGGTTCTGGCAAGGTGTAGAAATTTTGATTATCTATTGTCACTAATTCGAAATTATATGTTAATACTGCTTCGAAATTTTCAAAGAATTCTTGTCCGGAAACTGATGATTTTTTAATGGGGTATCACACGCGTTACTTATAGCTCACAGAATCTAGTCAGTTTTACCCGGTTTTGCAAAACTAACTAAAAAACACTCCGAAAATTATACTCAATCGATTAGTTAAGAATTCTAACAAGTATCTTACGGCAAATTTAATTTGTTTATAAATTTTAAGTATGCAAAAAAAATGTTAATTAAAAACTAAATATCTCCGAAACTATCAATCTGACGTGTAAAGTTTCTGCAAAAAAATTGTAGAACTTAAGGAAAGCTACAATTCCCTTTTTCTAGATCTCCGTCCGACCAATAATAGATCATTAGTTATGATTATGAACAATCGAAGTTTTATAAACAAATTGATGTTGCGAGCTGAAAAATTATCCGATCGTGGATTTATTTCTTTGATAGATTTCTGACATTAAAACGAACATTTTAAGCTTTTGATAAAGTCTGTATCTCAAAAATTCGATTTCTTAAAGCTAAAAAACTGATTGTGTTTGAAGAATAATATCTTGGAAACTGATTGCGCTACATACCTCGCGTAAAGCTTTAAAAAAACGAAAAATATGGGAGCCCCAGTGTAGCGTAAGTGCAAGATGAATGAAATCGACATTTTTACTTTAGAAAATCGCTTGATTTTGGTTGAAGACTAGAATAGAGCACTACTTTAAGCATTTCGCGCTATAAAGCGTGCAAAATAGAAAAGAAAAATACAATAGATTATTGTTAAATCTACTAAAAAGAACCTAAAAACAATATTCCGAGCTTTAAGAAAGTATAGTTGACAGTGGTCGCGAGATAAACGCCAAGTAGAATGGTGTCTTAGTGTTATCATAGCAGAAGAGGGGAATAAGTCGCTAATTAGAGCCAGATTGAACGCTTGTCCTGGGAGCCATTTTCCTTGACTCATCTCTCTTGTGTTCTCTTCATTCTCTTGCGCAACCGCCACCTTTTCTTCGGTATATGAGCGTGAATATAAGGGTGCGCAAGCCGTTTGAGTTTACCTATACTACACCAGGTTTCCACTACTTAGCAATATGCTCACTGAGGTCTCTTTAAATCCAGCGCGGGTACTGAGGGAACTTAAAACTATTCTCAACTCACCAAGTGGTGAACACTCTCTGGACAAGAGGGCTGAGGGTACAAGAGAGGATCACCAACGGCAAGTCTCGACCTTCCGTTGGTAGGGATACGAGTAGAGGGCTTAATGAAAAGTGTTTGCCCCGTAAAAGTTAAGATTAATTCGCGCTCGGGGGGTGGTTACCGCGGTAATCAGCACGTAACAGTGGTTTTCTACTCTTACTTTAAGTAACTATTCATTTTATTAATAATTTTCATTATTATATACCTAACTACACTAACAAATTAATTTTTCAATTAATTCGACAGTACACTTTGTCAATTACTGAGTATAGTTAAAACAATGTGCTGTGAAAAATAAAATAAATTAATGATTAATTCATTTGTCAAAAATTAACTTTAGAGTACTCACACTAATCACTAATCACTAGGGGTGTGTGAATAGTGTTCAAATCGAATCGAATCAAATATTACTATTCGATTCAAAATTCAAATAATTGACCCCTACTGAAAAGCATTTTAGATAGCGCCCGTAAAAGCTATTAGATTATTTTGAGTTTCAAATCATTCACTCTTGAAAAATTTTCAAAGAGGAAGTTTAAAATCTGAACACCACTTTTATTTGGAAAATATTATAGTATAGAGCCAAAATTTTGATTTAAAAATAGTTTCACTTAATTGTATTTGAACCGCAAGATTTTGGAGAAACATATCTTGGAAATTGATAAACTGCGATAACATAACTTAATTTAAGGAAAGAAGTCTCCAATGAAGAAAATTATTTTGACGAGTTGTATCATTTTGCATTAAGCAAAAAATTCTTGAATCTTGAATTCTTGAAAAATAAAATTTACTTGGACAAGAACACCTTTTGAGTTTAAAAATTTTTTTGTTAGATTTAAGATGATCAAACTCTACATAATGATGTTCTTGGTTCGACATTTCTTCTTATAAATCAAGTTAAGTTTTGTATTAATGCGCTCTAATAGGTTTGTGAAAATTTTGAATAATTCTATTCAAATGTTCGCACATCCCTACTAACCACAAGTTGATTTATTGATTAAAAAATTTTGAAATAATGTTTTCGTAATAAAAAAATTTAGTTTAAAAAGAAATTAAAAGCTTCCAAAATTTTTGCTCACTTTGATTTTAATGTGTTATTATTAGGGATGTGTAAGTCGATTCAACTAAAAACCAATCCCTAGATAAGCTTTTCGGGAAATTAATACCAATTTTAATCATTTTTTCTTTTAAATTATCATCTAAAACTTAACTCTCTTGTAAGGAAAACATTCAGCGATGATGCGCACCCTGTCGGAGATTTTCAAGACTACCTTTGGTAAAAAAATTATATACATATATGGGCATATGTAACCATATCAAGCCTGATATGATCATATCATCTCATATATTAGCATATGAAGAAATATCAATAATTATGTAAGGACATATTTGACCAGATCAGAAAATTTTCTTAATCTGGTATTTTTATTATTATTAGTAGTATTATTTTCATTATGTAACCAGTGCTGAATGTACAAAAATTTTGATTTTTTAAACTGTTCTTATAATTTCAGAAAAGAAGATAATAAGAATTATCGGTAAATGATTCAAACGTTGGAAATATCTAAGGAAAATGAAACCCGTGGATTTAAAGACAAATGGGAAATTATGAAGGTTGAGCACTCCTGGAACGAGGGGTTAATTTGGCGACACCTAGTTTCATTAACAACGCCATTAAAAGTAATGGCCGGCTTGGGGTAAGAAGGGTAAGCGAGTATAGAGGGGCAGAAAAGAGCGAGTTGGCTAGAATAAGATAAAATTACCTTCAGATACTGATGATAGTAGAGGAAGAAAATTTTGTGGGAAGCAACCTCTGGTCTAGGGGATCTGGAGATTCTAATTACGAAAGAGGACCTTGATGGAGAATTGCTGGCTGATATTTTTTCTCTTACTCTCTCGCCCATATAAACTTTCCGTATCTGGGTTTCTTGTTCTCCCTTATTACATATATACAGATATTTGTGAACCACGCGCTTTAGTACTTGACTAATATATGTATGTATGTATGAAGTGCATTTATATCTATATGCTACACTTAACTAGGGATAGTTGGTATTACTCGTCGGTATCCAGATATCTGGGCTCACTGGGGATACGCGGTGTAGTGGGAGAAATTCAAAGACAGAGGCACTGAGCGAGCGAAACAGGAGATCTGAGAATGAGAGACCTAGTAATATCTCACATCCAAGTTAAGCGGTATAATTGCTCTCACGGGTGAGACTCGGAATTCATGGCTAATTTATTTGCAACGATGCATCAGAGACGCCATATACTGTACGGTAAAATGTTCGATTCTCTGTATACATATATAAATATATATAAATTACTCAACCGTA